TGGGTCAGCTTACTTAAAGGGGCAGTGTGCATTTCTCTCTCCCATACACAAGGTGCATGTCTGTCTCTGTCTGCTATGCTGTCTCCCCTCCCTCCTGTTCGTGCTGCCTTGATGAGAGGCTACATTAACAACAATGTGTTAACCCTTGAGTGCTAGTTCATCATTTAGCAGCAAGGCATTCCCTGGGAAATATCCCTCCCTCTTCCATCCTCTAACTTCACCACCTCAACCAAGCTTCACAATCATCATAGCTGTGAACAGTATTAAATTGTTTGTTAAAATGTATACGGTGTGTATATCTATATAATATATAGTTTTTTGTCTGGTGAAAAAAATTTCCCTGGAACCTAACCCCCCCATTTACATTAATTCTTATGGGGAAATTGGATTCGCTTAACATCATTTCATTTGAAGTCACATTTTTCAGGAACATAACTACAACGTTAAACGAGGAGTTACTGTACCTTGTATACAGTAGGTTGCAGGGCTGCTACTAGCAGATCAGACTTTAGAGATAGCGTGACAGTGTAAATTTTGTAAATGGTAGGAACGTAGAACTTTTTGGGGGAGAAGTAATGGAATGCTAAATTGTAGTATACTGTATAGCCACAAGGTGGCACCATGTGTAACCTACCTTATTTAAGCTAATCTCAGCCATACTTGGCAAAGCATTAAAGGATCTTATAGTGAACACATCTGGTGTATATCTCTGAAGGAAGGAAGCTCTGTAGCCAGTCCATATCTGATAATGGTTCCAACATGAGAGGAAAGAACAGAGGAGTGCAGACACGGATCCGAGAGTTAAACCCTCAAGCTTTTTTTGTCCCATGCAGTTCTCATTCATTGAACTTGGTGGTCAGTGATGCAGCATCAGCTTCTAGCGAGGCTGCTGAATTTTTTAATGTAATTCAAAGCATCTATGTATTTTTCTCTGCATCAACTCATCGATTGCAAATTTTGAAGCAACATCTGGGAACATCCTCTCTGACACTGAACCCACTAAGTGCCACACAATGGGAAAGTCGAGTGGAAGCGATAAAGCCTATCAAACACCAAATTGGGAAGATAGATGATGCCATAGTTGCCATTATGGAGGAAAATGTTATGACAGGAACTGTTTGTGGGAGAACAGTGGCAGAGGGAAATGGAATCACCAGAAACATACATAACTTCAAATTTCTGTGTGGCTTAGTGTTGTGGCTTGACATACTGTTTGAAATAAATGTTGTAAGCAAAAGACTCCAAGGTGTTGAACTTGATATATCCGGAGCAATGGAACAACTGGACAAAGCAAAGTCATACCTACAGTCTTACCGGTCAGATGAGGGATTTCAAAACGTTCTGAAGAGTGCACAGAAGTTGGCAGAGGAACTTCATACTGAAGCTATTTTTCCACCCATTCACGAATACAAGAATCACCGAAGAAGAAGACATTTTGATTACGAGGCACGGGATAATCCCATAAGAGACCCCAAACAACAATTCAAAGTTGAATTCTTTAACCAGGTGCTAGATTGTGCAATACAGTCAGTTGAAGGACCTTTCATGAGCTCAAGGAACACAGCCGTATATTTGGGATGTTGTATGATATTCCAAAATTCCTCACTATACCTGAAGAAGACCTACACCAACAATGCAGGGTACGAGAGACAGTGTTGACACATGATGACATGCGCGATATTGATGCGAGTGATTTAGGTGATGAACTGAAAGCCCTTTCTAATTACATTTCAGGAGGATCAACTCCAAAAGCTGTTCTGGAATATATGTGCACAAATAAGATGACCACCCTCTTTCCAAATGCTTTTGTTGCTCTGCGTAGACTTCTAACACTTCCTGTAACAGTTGTCAGTGGAGAATGCAGCTTCTCCAAGTTGAAGTTAATAAAAACACATCTACGCTCCACAATGACAGAGGAGAGGCTGGTCAGCCTTGCAACCATCTCAATAGAGCATGAGCTGGCCCAGACTGTGGACCTTCAGCAGGAAGCAGTTCAAATCTTTGCAACCAAGAAGGCTCGGAAAGCACCACTTTGATTATTCAAACAATTTAAAATGCCAGTGTTTACTATGTAGACAAGAAAAGTTACATTTGGTGTTCAGGCATTTGAAAGTTAAGTGTTACTTAAAATTTTTGAACAAGGCATTTTAAGTTGTTAGTTCTCCTTTATTGGGGTAGGTAACAGAGCAGTACCATGAGAGGATTAGAACAGGAAGAAGGCAGAATTGAGACCTTTTAAAGTTTTGGCCCAAGCGAGGGGGCATGGGGGCGTCATTTGAGCTCCCCGCCTCAGATGCCAAAATGTTGTGGGCCAGCACTGATTAAACCAGCCCATGGAAGACCCTTGGGAAGGTCCACACCTCCTGACTGGGACAGCTGTCCCCACCCCTCTTACTTTCACCGGGATCTGGCATTTGAGCCCCTGGCTTAACAAGGTTCTTTCAGCTGAGGGTGACCCCCTCATTTGGGACAGGTTTTGCTCCCCTTTAGTCATACAATAATTACAACACATTGATAACAGCATTTCAGTAGTAAAGTGATTTGTAACCCAACATCAACCAAAGTTGATTACTTTGAGCAAAACACCGCTCTATCTGATGGATGTCTAAGCAGAGCAGGAGCAAACTGTATTTACATGGACACATTTAAACTCTCTCTTCCTCCCAGCTGGCTGTCAGGGAAGAATTCAATCGACCCTGCTTACACTTAGTCTATAGCTGGGCCCCCCAGTAGCCATGCCTAGTGCAGAAGAGAGACATAGGGGAACCTGGGCCCACCCTACTCCACTGGGTTCCAACCCAGGGCTCTAGGAAGCTTGTAAATTCCCTATTAGAAGCTGATGCTTGAACCCCTAACACATTCCCTGGGTACTTCCTAACATAAGGCCCATCTAGGGCATCTCCTCTGCTGGCAGGGGCTCAGCGTCCCAGTCATTCTACATGGTCAGTTGGTCATCCATAGTGTAGTCTGAGTCCATGGTGTCAACAACTTGGAGAGTCGAAGGTTCCTCTGCAGAAACCTGCAGCACATGTCCTTCCTCCTCAGCCAGCCCCTACTGAACTGGGTTGCCTCCTTTAATCTGTCCCTTCCGCCGAGAGCATGTGCAGCAGTGGTGAGGGGGCATTGTCTCCTAGGCCCACATTGATTGGTCAGGCCTGTTGACCCAGTGCGGGGTTGGTATACCTGTCACACAATGCAAGACTCATTTACACATTGTTTAAAGATTCAGATTAAGACCTAAAGCTAGTTTTTTATGCTAGGCTGAGGAGACTTTTTCAATTAAATTTAAAAAGTTAATTTCTCTTGTTTCTAATCTTCTAAATGTACATTACTCTGCACTTTTTTAAACTTTGCAATCACTTTTGTTTAAGATAGGCCTTTATTATTATCGCATTCATTAGAGTAATTCTTGGTAGCACAGCTATAGATGAGTATGCTGTCAGTGTTGCGTTTCTGTTACCAACGGTGTTTTGCAGTGTTTATCACTCAGCCATTAAAAGCAATTCTTGGCTGAAATTTGATATAGAATATCTCCCTCTCTCTACTGTAGGAGGCTGCCTCTTGTATAATTTCTCTATGTCCACCTCCAAATGCCATTTGACACTAACAAATACAACTTTTAAAACATGCATTTCTGAGTCTATAGCAAACCTTTCAGAAGCTTGAAGACCAGTTTACAGAGAGAGTGAGTTGTACTTAGTGTGCTAGTTGAACAGTGTAAGGTCAGTCTGCCTCCCCTCATGTTGGGTATGCTCAGTAGAATGAGCCTTTGCGTATCAAGAAGTTTTTGTTCTCCACAGTTGAACAAAACCCTCACAGATAGTGGAGGCTATGCTACAGGCACCTAGCACCTGACCCTGCAATTCTTAATTAGGAAAAATGTCCCACTGAAGTCAATAGGATTTCTGTCTGAGTAAGGAAAACAAGATTGGGCTCTTGTCTTAAACCATTGGTCCACTGTATCACTGAATATTGTAATCATTAGTGCAGTTGCCGCTGTGTATGTAAAAAGTTCCAAATCAATATTAAATTAATGTGTTTCTTGCATTTTGACAGTTTATTTTTATTTACACAGTAAAATTTGTCCTAAGTGACTGCTTGAGAGTGATAAATCAGTTGCTTTTAATGGATGTGGCTTTCTGAGAAAGGTGGAAGAGAACTGTACTCACATCATAAGGGGACCTTCAGGTAGGTGCCCATACTGGGAATATTTGAATTGGGTTGCCTATTAAGTAAAATGCCTTACAGATATTGAACTGTGAGCAATGGAATTGTTGAAAAGATCTACCTGCTGCATACGAACAATGTACTGTCTGTCTATAGTATTTTTAAGCCTCCAGGCACAGTGGTATTTCAGCTGTAAGAACTGAACACGCAATGACAATGAGAAAACAACTGAAAATGTAAATTAAAGCTCATGAGGTCAGAGAAGACATATTTAGTGTTATAATAAAATGATTCTGAGCCTGCTGAGATAGTCATGCTCTGCTTTTTTCAATCTTTCAGACACATTATGAAAGACTGAAAACATCATTACAAATGAAGCTTTTTCTGAGGCCTCCAAAACTATATTCAAGCCTAGCTGGCCTCACAAATGAACGTTATGCTTAACCAAATTCAACTATTTTCACTCCCCTAACGGGGGCTGCCACATGCAGTCCTCTTTTTGTAACTTCTTGTTGGCTATTTTCCAGTAGCAGCATCAATGTGCTGACCATAGGAAAGTACATACACGTCTGTTTCCAACCAGCCTGTGGTAACTGAGTGGGATGTAAATCTAATTAAATAGAAGAAGTTACAGTATGTTGCAATAACATTCAGGGTCTGACTTAAACTGACAAAAGCAAGGAAATTCCAAGTTAAAGTTGCCATTCTGTCCTTATTTCACCCTGCTGTACTTTGGAACTGCAGTGTCTCAGAACTGTGCATAATACACACATGTGTTGCGTACAATCATGCGTGAACACACACTACATACAAACCACTGTGTTAAAAGAACATTATGAAGGTTGCAAAGTCAAGCTCTCAAAAGTTAGAAAATGCCAGAATGTATGTTGCACATGCCCTCCAGAAATTTATATACATCTTTAGCAAAGGCTACTCCATGGGTTTAAGATAGAACAGGAGATAAAAATAACTGCTTTTCCCTCACTAATTACACCCATTTCTAATAATCCAGTTCTTAACCCAAATCATGAACCAGAGAGTTTTAAAGACAGGGAGAGCTATGGAATACAAACGATTTCCCAGCTATTCAGTAAAGAAACTTTTCTAACTTATGTAGACATCAAAACAAAAGTTAACTGGCCCACTCTCCCCTGATACTGATACTTTCAAATTAGGCATTATGTTACTCAACTTTCTAGAAAAGTTGTTCTATACAAAACGCTGATTTCAATAGAAGCGATAGCATCCGGTCAGGTAAGAAACAAAAAATTATAACTAATTTACATCAATCTTTGCAGACAACTTTCTTAACCAAAGAAGTCCATATATGACATACTGGAGATAGGATCTGGATAAACAAATTACCCCAGAGGAATGAGAGGTGATATGGTACAAGAGGACCAGTAACCTCAGTCTGTAGCATGATAAAAGAAAAATTCTTTACTATAGTGTTTCAATGGTATTTCATGCCAGTCAGGTTAAAATATATATATAGCGATTTAATGGGGATAAATGTTGGAGAAACTGTGGTGAACGAAGAGATTTTACACATACAGGGTGAACATGTCCAGTCATTAGAAAGTACTGGGACATCATTCATAATAATTTATCACAAATTGTTGGATATTTATTACCAAATGATCCTTTGTTAATCCTCCTGGGGCTTCCTGTCAGAAATGGTCACACAAAAGGAAATGAAGAATGAATCTGTCATCTGCTAGTAGCTGCTAGGCTACTGATAGCCTCGCGTTGGGAAAAAAAATGGTCCAACTCTAGAGGAATGGTTCACCAAGTATGAGAGGTTGTTATGGAAAAATTAATGCAGCAGTTACATGCTCAGCATAATAGACAGAGGACAAATAGATACTTAGATATTTGGTTACTATATACTCAGTACTCAAACAAAAGTACATTCACCTGCAAAAAACCCGTTGGCACACCTGTCCAATCTTTTTGAATATTAGCATTTGATAGACATGCCTGGCTTGTTAAATATGTGTAATCAGAGATTTCACTCAATTTAACAAAATCACTAGAAATGCTATGTCACGAGTAGTATAAAGATGCTCACTCTGTCACATGGTAACACCCTGCTTAAATAGAGAGATTTGATGATTATATTACTGTATAATGTTTCACTAACCAAAAGCTCACAGTTGTAATGATTGTTTTGTCTCTGATATTTACATTTAGGATTTGTAAAGCTGTTTAAAAAATGCCTGGTTCAGAGAATGAAGCTGCTGTTTAATATTTTTATCCTCAACATACAGTTAGTGTCCTCTGCCTTATTTCATGTATACCATGCAAGGAATACATAATTATTCATTTTCTTATGGTCTTTTCTAGGGCACTCATCACTGTAATGCCTGAGTGCTTCACACACATTAATGAATTTATCTCCATATCTCCACTGCAAGATAAGAGTATTATTCTCATTTTATAGATGGGAAAAACAGACAAAGACTTTTCCACAGGAACACAGAGCTAGGATTAGAGCTCTGCACCATGAGATCCCTAAGCCTGTGCCCAGGCCGCCACACTAAGCTCTCTTATACTATGATGTCACTGATAAAAAGGTATGTTTTTACCATGGGATACCTAACTACATTAACTATCCTGCTTTACCATAGTGGAGAAAAGACACCTGTAGCGTTTATCATGAGATCAAACACAGGTATATAATGCTGACCTCAGCTAGATGCCTCACAGCAAACACTATTGTCTCTCTTAGGATTTTATAGCAGGATAACCATTGCATGTTTGTTTTCTTGCTGTAAACCCCCCCCCCCACACCTTTGTGTCAGTGAAAACAAAGTCTTGTTGGCAGAGGTGCTGAGCATCTGTGACACCACTGAGTTCTATTGCAGCTGTAAGTGCTCAGCATTTCTGCACAGCGGGCCCCTATTGTGTCAAGTTTTGCACATTGAGAATTAGAAATATACAATTAGTGGTCACCTAGCAAAATTTTTGTTTAAGTGACTTGCTCTGCATTGCATATGAAGGCTGTGGCAGAGCTAGACTGAATCTTCCTTTGTACTGTATTATTCACCTTCCTTAACTACAAGGGCATCTTTGCTCATAGATTATAAAGGAACTATTATGATCATCTAGTACAGGGGTCGGCAACCTTTCAAAGAAGACGAGCCATTTTTTTGTATTTGTCTTTGACCAAAATATTGCATCACACGCAAAGCTACTTGTAGAGTTAGAATTTATCAACTAATAATAATTGAACATATTAAAGTTATTACTACTCCCCAATACTTTTAATGCGACTAGAATCTAGGTGCTTCAGCAAGGACTGTACCAGACTGCCCACAGCCTGGGTATGTAGCAGCAGTGTTAAACCATGCTGGGTCCATGCCGTTGCATCTTCACTGATATCTTTAGCCAGGGTGGCTAGATTAAAGCTAGCAGAGCTGCAATCACACTTCTGATTGCAATGTAGGCACACCCCCTGCGTTTGTACAGCACCTAGCACCTTCCTCACACCCCCTCAAAAAATGGGGGCAGCCAAAGAGCGACAAGGGGGCAGGCAAAGAGCCGCATGCAGCTCTGGAGCCGCAGGTTGCCGACCCCTGATCTAGTCTGACCTCCATAACACAGGCCATAGAGCCTCATGAATATTTTTGCATCAAGCCCATAACTTCTACTTGAGCTACAGCATATCTTCTAGAAAGATTTCCACTCTTGTCTTAAAGACTGCACGTGATGGAGAATCCACAACATCCCTAGGAAAGTTGTTGCAATGGTTAATTACCCTCACTGTTAAAAATTTGCAATCCTATTTCTAGTCTGCATTTTGTCTGGTTTCAGCATCCAAACACTCAATGTCATTATGCCTTTTTCTGCTAGATGAAGGAGCCCTCAACTAGCAGAAGTCTCTTCTCTCTTTAAGTACTTATAGACAGTGGAAAAGTTACCTCTTAACCTTCTATTTGCTAAACTAAATAGATTGAGGTTTTTTAGCTTGTCGGTATAAGGCATGGTTTTTGATCTCTAATAATTCGTGTAGCACTTTTCAGAACCCTTTCCAAATTCTCAGCATGTTTTTTCAAGTGTGAACAGAACTGAACATAGTAGTTCAGTAACAGCCTCATTAATGATGTATACAGAGGTAACACCATCTCCCTGTTCCTACCTGATATTCTTCATACATTCAAGGATTGCATTCACCGTTAGCTACATCACATTGGGAGCTCATGTACTTTCTGCAATCCCCTGCCTGCTCACTGTACATCTTCCAAATTCTAGAGCAAATGAGGCAGAGATCCTACAAACAGCCTCATTCACTAACAACCCTGATTCATTCCTTTAGCACAGAGGTGGGCAAACTACGGCCCGCGGGCCACATCTGGCCCACGGGACCGTCCTGCCTGGCCCCCAAGCTCCTGGCCCGGGAGGCTAGCCCCCGGCCCAGCCGCTGCTGTCTCCCCTCCCCTGCAGCCTCAGCTCATTCGCTCCGCCACCAGCGCAATGCTCTGGGTGGCGGAGCTATGAGCTCCTGGGGCAGCGCAGCTGCACAGCCCGGCCTGACCCAGTCTCTGTGCTGCATGGTGGCGGTAGCGGCAGCATGGCTCGGCTCCAGCCGGGAGGTGCGGCTGTAGCGCCACCAGCCACTGGTGCTCCAGGCAGCGCGGTAAGGGGGCAGGGAGCAAGGGGTGGCTAGAGGGCAGGGAAGTTCGGGGGGGTGGGCAGCAGGCAGGGGTGTGAATAGGGGTTGGGGGGGTCGGGGAGGAACAGGGTGTTGAATGGGGGCAGGGGTTCCAGGGAGGGGGGAAGTCAGGAAGGAGGGGAGATTGGATGGGGCGGCGATGGGCAGCCAGGGGCAGGGGCTCCGGGGGCAGTCAGGGGACAGG